CGTTATTATAATTTGTGTATCTTTAAAATATTAATAACATGTATTAATAACAATTAAACTTTACTTAAATTTCATGGTTAGTAATACTCGATCTGCAATTAATTGTAAATTGTATGTATATTATATTTGTTGATTCTTTGTTTAGTCTTATTTCATCTTATGATTAAAATGGTATTGAAAATTAAAGAAATACTTAATAGATAATTATATTATGTTTTATTTGAATATTAAATATCTATTATTAGTTGCAAAATTTAGTCTTATCTAAAATTTTGAGTTACTTCAATTTTTCTAAAGTTGATTGCAAATAAAATATTTAATATGGTTAAGTATTGATGAATGTTGAAATAAAACTAGATAGTCACTTGTAAAATTTGAAAAATAATTAAAAATGTCCAGTATTCCGAACCAAAACGAACTGAAGCGAACCGTCCCGTCTTGATAGTCTCGAATCCAAACCATATTGAAAAAAAAAAAAAATCTAATCGAACTTAACCGATTAATATAAACGATTCTAGAGATTTAGTTTGAGTGATCTCTAAATTTTAGGATAGAAGATTTCTTAATCTCATAACCTTACCATACTCATACCAAAAAACGAGTTTTAAATGTTAAAAAGACCCAATAATATCGTGCCACGCAAGTTGACTAGAAAACTCCGGATGGGTTGATTAATTCCGTGGTCCACGCGGTAAGAAAATTCCGCCAAACGTAACATGCTAAACAAATAAATTAATTTAAATGTTATAAACCAGAATTGTTTATAAATTATATTTATATAACCCGAAAGGAATATATATCATATTTGTATAAGTTATCGAGAACATGATTAAGCAGAGACAGCAACGCTCCATGGCAAGTCACGTTCTTTTGTTTGATTGCAAAATTTAATATTCTTCTAATTGGCCTATTGATTTAAGGAATATAAATATTCCACCAGGATTTAAATTATTTTTTCATTCCAGAAATCAGGGTAAGCTATTCTATACTTTATAATATTAGAGAAACAGAAAATGAAAAAGTAAAAAGTTACGTGGGGATTCAGTTCCAAGCTCACATGCTACAAAATCAAAATAAAATTTTGTTGCGCGTATTTTTTCTAAGTTGATAGAGCAAATAGAATTCTACTTTTAATTATTTGCATGTTAGCATGAATGGAAAATTTTAAAATTGGTCTTACAACTATATAATAAGGATGTAATAAAAGTAGAACCGTTGGAATGCAATTGATTAACAATTGTCAAGTTTTAAAATCACTCTAAATAAGGACTATTTTTGCTGAAATACAGCGTGCTCTGCCGAAAATGACATGTCATAAGTCTAAGTGGCTTTTAGAAAGTTCTTTTTTTAAAAGTAGCCTTTTAAGTTTTAACTATTATATGTTTTAAAAATATCACATTTGAATACAATTAATCATATTATTGTAATTTCAAAATTTACCAAGGTAGTTNTCCTTACCAAGGGAGGTAAAGTCTTTGTGAGTTCGATTAGAAAGATACCTTTTTTATTTTGTTTGTGGTGTTGTAGTAGTTTGTATTCATTTATGTCGTTTTCTCTTTTATTGAGAGTGTGTAGTATTCTATGAAGTCAGTTTGTGTTGTTTAGTTCCCACAAAATTTCAAGAGGAGGTTTAGAGCATGTTTGCTTATGGAAATTTTTGGTTTTGTTTGGATTTTTTTGTTTGGTTTGGTTAATTTTTAAAAAAATGGTATGATTAGTTGTTAGTGGGTATATTAAAATAATATTTAAAATAAATAATTCAAAATTGATTTGATGTAAAAATGTGAGAGAGATGATTGAAGTGATGATTAGTTAACATAATGTGAGTGAATGAATAGTGAATTAAAGTTGATATGGTGTGTATTAATGATTGATTGATATTATTTAATTATATTAATAATATTGATGATAGTGAGGTTGAGTTAAATTGAGTTAAAATATTGAAATTTTTTTAAAAAATTTCCATAAACAAGTCTTTGTAGTAGTTATTTTGTGTTATTATTAGTATTTTATCATAGTTTGATAAAAAAACATTAAAGAAATAAAATTATCCTCTAGGCTCACATGCTCTAAGTTGTACTATTTTTGGATAGGACAATTAAATTGCCATAATAGGTTACTGATAGGATATGATAATTAATAATAGTCCTACAGCAATAATAATCATCGGTTTTTATCTCAATTTCAGTCGCTTAGGCTAGAACAAAATAATCAAAAAAAATCACATGACCATATGAAGAAAACATTCCACTCTATCATTTTGGAGATAAATTAAAAAATTCACATGCACAACTCATAATCACGATTGATGTACTACAGGGGCAACTGGCGGCCCGGTTCACGACGGGCCGGGTCGGGCCGGCGCGTGGCCATGCCTACATGAGTGGTATTCATCAAAAAAAAAATGTTGCAAGTAATGCTCTTTAAGGTAAAACTTTTTGCAAATTTTATAATTTTCTAATAAATAAAATCGGTAGAGGTACAACACTCCTATATTACTCATGTGTTAACTAAAAAAACATGCTTGAAAATAATAAATAAATAAAATTTAAAGTTTTTATTTTAAATTTTTAAATACTTCTTGAAACTTATACTATTATGTTATTGTTTCGATTATATTTGTAAGAATAAATATATTGTTTTATATATGTAATATGAATGTCAAATTGAAGATCATCAAAAGATAATTAATCTGGTATATTATAGAAGAAAAACTAACAGCAAATAAAACTTTATTACGTTTTAGGACATATTTTACAATTTATGTTGATCAAGTGTTTTACAATTAAGAAAATTATGATAGACATGGCTAAAAGTTCAAATCTAAATGGGTGTACTCATTTGGGAATCTTAAAGACTCTTTGAAAGAATATGGTGTATTTAACTTGATTTTTAAAAACTTTTAAAAGTCGTTGGTATTCATTTGAATTACTTTCAAAAAAATTTGAAAACGCACGAGGTATTCAATTTATCTGTCATTTAGATTTTTCTGGATTTTATCATACTTATATTGAGCTTTCACAAACAAAACCATAAACGAAATCCAATGATTATTTTTTTTCAAGGATTTCTCTTAAATTTTAAAGTATTTAAATTTTAAATACTTTTAAAATATCACTCGAAATCTCAACGAATATATTCTCTTAAATCGTTGATTGGTCGAAAAAAGTGTGTATTTCATATATTTATTAGCGTATTTTTATATGCTTAATTTTATCGCACTTATATATTTTTCGACTTATTTATTTTCTTCGATGGATTCTTATACTTTGATATTTTTATGTTTTATTTTTAAGATATTGGAGGATTTTACTTGGTGGCGTGGCACCGAACGAGAATTGAGTAGTCTAGTAGGAGGTGCCCCATTTGAATTAATTATCACTTTGTTAGTTATTTATTATTGCTGCATATTCATCATACATAATTTCACAATAAAAATTTAAAATATTTTAATGTTCATTGTACAAATATTAATATGTTGAAGTGCTGCCCATGTAGTACACGAGTACTCTACTAGTGATTACTCTAAAGCACCATAATTTGACACGAACACCAGAAGTTGACTCATAGAATTATGAAACACAAAAAATTAATACATAAGTAGGGATTAAGAATTGAATCATTTGTGACATTTTTTTCAATTTATTTTTACCTTTTGATATCACTTGACTTATTTTATTTGTAAGAGAGATGATTTTTGCAGGAGGACCACTATGGGTAGCTAGGACATGATAGTATGCGACCATTCTGAAATGGAACTGATTAGCCTTTTGTTTTTGCAGTGCGACCATTTTCTACAGAAATCAAGATAAAATTCCCGTGAAAAGGTAACTTTTCTGATTTTACTGTGGACAACGTTCTGAAATGAAAGTGCCTCACGGGCTTACTCAATAGGGAAAATAATTACTGCACTACATGTATTTGTGTGTTTGAAAGCATTTCTCGAAAAGTTACTGTCTCAATGATATATTATTCATTGGAGCAGAAAGAATAACATTGGAACAGCTTTAATTTCCGTGAAAGCAAGCACACGCATATACAAATGTGTCCAAATTTTTCCATTTTTTAAAATTACGTTATCCAACTTTGTAGTAGAGACTAGAGAGATTGTTTATTTGACGTAACGTTTAAATTAATGTTTTTTTTAATGGTTCATGGTCGGGCATCATTTAGGTTAATTAATCTTGTAGCCGAGCTTGATTTATACATCAATTAAGATAAATAAATTTTGTTACTTTGTTGTTAATTCTTACAAAAAATTGTAATTAGAAGTTGATGAACATATTAGTGGCTATGTTTAGCTTGTCTTGGACCTTCGATTTCATGTACTTTGTGTACTCAAGTACAAATATTTCGTAAATAATATGTGACATGCATGTATATATTGCCAATGACAAGAAATTTAAGAATATAATTTCCAATTGTAATATTAATATAGATTCAATTTTTTGTATTATGTAAATACACATATAACCTATACCTATTTACTCACAAAACTATTTGGTTGATTAAAAAACATAGTCGACAATAACTACTAAAATAGGGCGTCGTTTGATTCATCGATTTAAGGATTTCAATTTTTGCTTTTATGAATTCAAATTATTGTGGTGTAAAACATTACCTAAAGATTTAATTCTAGGATATTACTACTAGAAATTCTTCGATGGATTTCAATTTTGAACTATTCTAATTAGTTAAAATTCTAAATATCTACTCCATATCTATTCAATTCTTTATCTTTATTTAAATCATGCATCACGCTCACTGAAATTATCTTTCGGGAAATTTAGGACACGGTCATTTGTTATAGCTGTTGGTAAAAAAGAACAAAATTTTGAAAATGAAGAATTTAATTGCAATTATTGAAGGAGGAAAAAAACACAGGAAAAGACAAAGGTGAAAACGTCAGACAGACCTGTTGGTTTTTTTTTTATGGGTTTGAAGAAAAGAAAGAAGAGATACCTTCTCATCCACATCTCTCTCTCTCTCTCTCTCTCTCTCTCTCTCTCTCTCTCTGTTTTCATATGTATGGCGTTTATCGAATTATGTTGGTTTTAGCAGCAACCCAGGTAACGGTTTTATTGAAAAAGCTAAAAAAATATGAATTGTTTTTAAAGATTGTATCAATTTTCTTGGAGCTGTTGTAGTAAAACAAACTTTAGTCTATTTCTATTTTACTTTTTCTCTTTCCCTCTTGGATGCAAACATATATATGTGTGTGTTTGTGTGTATGTGTTCTTAGTAGCTTACAGCTTTTTTTGTAATTTTTTTAGGGTTTTGAAGGAAATAGTAACCTGGGGCTGTGAAATATACCAAGAAGAAAATAGCTCGTGAGATGCACGGATTGTATTCGAAACTCTTCAAGACGGGGTTTTAATTAAAATTGACCTCTCAGCAATATTTTTTTTCTTTAGGAGCTTCATCACTTTTTAGTTGGCCTTCCCAATTTTAGGGTTTCCTTGTCCTTAACCAAAAAAAATAATTAATAATCACCAGCTTTTTTGAAATCTGTGGCTTATCAGCAGTGAAAAAAAACATTAAAATAAAATAAGCCTCATTTCATATTATAAATCCACACTAAATAATTTAGAGAAAAAATGTTACAGGGCTTTGGGGTTGATGACAATATGTCCAATTTAACTTCAGCGATTTCCAATGAAGCCAGCATATCATCCATTAGTAACAACATGAATGAGATGGCAAATAGTGCCATTAATGCTCATCCACTCCAAAATTTTCAGTCCTTTTTCTCTTCTTCTCATATTAATAATAATAATAATAATATTAACAATAATAATAATAATCAAGTCCAAGCTGCTCCCACCAAGAAGAGACGAAATCTTCCCGGCCATCCTGGTAATTTTCTTACCTTTTCTTTATTTTGTGTAATTTTAATTATATATATATACATATAAAAAGATTAATTCAACCAATTGAAATTTTTTCAATCTTGAATCAATTATATTAAAAAAATTACGCAACACGAACTAAACAGACCCAGAGGCTGATGTGGTGGCATTATCCCCAAAGTCCCTAATGGCGACAAACCGATTCATGTGCGAGATATGCAATAAAGGATTCCAGAGGGACCAAAACTTGCAATTACACAGAAGAGGCCACAATTTGCCCTGGAAGCTCAAGCAGAGGAACAAACCCAAGAAGAAAGTGTATGTCTGCCCGGTGCCCGGCTGCATTCACCACGAGGCTGCCCGGGCACTGGGGGACCTGACCGGGGTCAAAAAGCATTATTCAAGAAAACATGGGGAGAAAAAGTGGAAATGCGAAAAGTGCTCCAAGAGATACGCGGTGCAGTCGGACTTGAAGGCCCATGCCAAGGTCTGCGGCACGCGCGAGTACAAATGCGATTGCGGTACTCTCTTCTCCAGGTAATATAAACCAGAATAATTAATTTGATAATTTATTATATTGTGTTTTCCTTTTAAATGGAAACTGATCTAGTGATTTTTAGTTTGTTTTATGGTGGAATGGATGTGGCGGGTGTGGTTACAATGGTTAGTCACGGGCGAATATGTGTGTATAGTGATTTTTTTTATTATTATTTTAATTTTAATTTTTTTAGAGAGAGATATATTAACTATTAAGCGTATTTAATTAGTGGGTAGTATGGTTTATTTAGGAGTGTCGATGGGAATTCATGTCAAGGTTCATGAACCATAATTTCACAATTTGTTGTTGGTTTAGACATGAGATAATCCTTATTATTGCAATTTAGATATATGTATAGGATGGAATCTAGGTTTGGCATGCTACACTTATTGACAAATGTCATTGAACTATATATATATATATAGTCAAGAGGTTCCCCTCATTGATATAATAGAGGCAAAATTATCCTCTAGCTAGTTTAATATTGTACAAATAACTTCACAAATAATAGTATGAAGCAGACTAATCATTAGGTAAGTCGACCCGTCATACGATATATGAACAAAAATGAATACTTATAGTATCAATGTTCATACTTTTTTTTTTATATTACTTTGTAAAGTATAACTTGTTTTAATGAAAGTGTAAATATTAATGAAATAAAGTATATGGTGTACTAATGAAATACTTAAAGTTAGACATGTGGTGTTTAGCAATATAAAATAAATTAAGCATTTTTGTGCAAATAAAATTTATAGCCATTTATTCATTTAGGATGATTTATAGACACGTGTTAATGTCCCGATTTTGTGTGTGTGTGTGTGGTAATTGATGTGTTAATTTCCTGGCAAATCAATAGTGGTCATTAATATGTGATAACAGCTGGAGACGACGGAACTGTTCTCTCCTAAATACCCTTTTAGCTGATTCTCTTTTTTTTCCTAAAAGCGTGAAAACCAAAGCTCAACTAATCTTCGATTATCATACAATTTAATCATCAAAACGAGGAAAGGTTCTGCATCTCTTTATTCCAGCACCAGATTGCTTTTCACCTTTCAAACAAAAAAGAAAAAGAAAAATTGGTACTTTCATATAAAATTGTTCTATCAAATATGGGGGAGACAAGGGTGGGCACAAAGTCACAAAAAATCCGACCCNACTGTCTTTATAAAGCTAAGTGACGAAAATAAAAGACACAAAGGGTTGACGATTTTCTCTATAAGAAAAAAAGATACTAGTAACTTTATAAAAAAAAAAGAAAAGAAAAAGAAAAGTGTTCTAACACATGATGATGAGTACTCTACTCTACAGTCTACAGTATTAGCGACTTAGCTTATGTAATATGTACCACTGTTTGGTCTGTTTTCTTCCCATTTTGTCACCTTATGCCTTGTTTGTTTCCCCTTGTTTACCAAAATCCCACAGGAGGGACAGCTTCATCACCCACAGGGCCTTCTGTGATGCCCTTGCCCATGAAAGCTCAAAATCAACAACACAAAACAACCCACTTTTCTTTCCCATCCAAACATCCCCTAACACCACCACAACCCAATTAATTTCCCAACAAAATATAAACTTCAACAATTTCCCACATCACCAGCTCAAAGAAGAAAGCCTCCCCTTGTGGCTATCCCCCAAGCCGCCAACAAGGGTAGAATCGTCATTTCACCAAAACCCTACAAACCCTAGCGGCCCCATCTCATTTCCGTTTTCTTCTTCGCCTTCTAATTCCCTCATGTTGCCAACCGCACTCCTCCAGAAGGCTGCTCGAATGAGCCGCGTGGGCATGCTGCCCCAAAACGAATTCGGGCACGTGCTCCGCAACTGGGGCAGCATGCATGACGTGGGTATGACGTCAGCAAATGGTGGATTGGGGTTCGAATACGGGTTTGACGAGATTTTGGAGTCGGGCAAGGGTTTGACGAGGGATTTTCTGAATATGGCGGCTCTGGAGCAGATGGGGTCTCAGCCCTTCGATCGTCATCAAGTTCGACAGAATAATCAAGGGCAGTGGGGGAGTTGATTATTAGTAATGTTGGCGCGCAATGAAATGTGTGCGCATCTTATCGTGTTTTATTTGTTTGTATTTTCATGACTTTCTTTGTTTGTTTATGTTTTTTGAATTGAAGGGCTCAATTGTTAGCTTTTCCTTGGCAAATCCATCTTGAAGTTATATATTTATTTTGTCATGTGTCAGTTACATTTTTGTTAGTTATATATTGGGCTCCGCGGAAGGACGACATTGACGGGCGTGACGCCACCATTGAATATCCCGGTTGACAAGCCATGAGTTTAGGACGCCACCATTGAATATCCCGGTTGACAAGCCATGAGTTTAGGACAAGTTAGAAATAGGATTGATATTATTATTTAGCCTATTTCGATAAAATTAAAAAATAATGCATTTACACTTGAATTGTAACCCAAGTTGTGATCAAAGTAAGCTCTATACCCTTACTAAAAAAAAATGGGTCATTCTGCATTACAATATATGTTTGTGTTCAGATGACAATATACTACACAAATATTACACATTGTCCTAAAAACGAGTATTC